ATTTTTAAATATGGTGACCGTGTATCTAGATTTTGTTTTTGGTAAAAAAAAAAATGGTGTGTCCGGTTCTTAAGTTGTGCTCTTCGACAAATATGTCCCATTTGGTTGTGATGTATTTTTTTGTTATTGTTGTTGCGATCATTTTGTAGCCAAATGTGAGCTGCAGAATGGGTGTTCGTTTTTCGTTTATTCCTTCTCTGAGATGTTTGGGTATCTTCTGTACAATTATGGGCCTGTTTGGAACTTGAGTTTTTGGGGAGTTTGTTTAAAATTTTTATTGTAGTGCACTGTAGAAGTTTTTGAAAAAATTTTGTAGAAGTTTTGTAAAGTGAAAAACTTTTTTGTAGAAGTTTTTGTAAGGTGAAAAACTTTTTTTCCTATTTTTTTTTCTTTCTTTTTCTCTTTCTCTTTCTTTTTCTTTCTTTCCTTTTTCTTTTCTTTCCTCTCTTCTTCTTCTTTTTCTTCTTCCTTCCCTCTCCCCCTTCCCCGTTACCTCTGTTTCCCAGCAGCAACGTAGCCTGCTCCATCCCCTATTCCGTCACCGCCCTACCTCCAGCACTTCCGCCAAGGCCTCCTCCAGCCCCTCCTTCCACGCCTCCACCTGCTCCACCTCCAGCACTATCACCAATGCCTCTACCAGCCTCTCCTCCACTCTCCCACCTGCCCCACCCCAACTCCATTACCAGCCCCACCTCCTGCACTACTACCTGCTCCTCCAGTAGCACCTCTTCCTGCTCCTCCACCAGCATCTCCTCCAACGCCACCACCAGCACCAGCACTACTACCTGTACCTCCTCCAACTCCAGCATCACCATCGGCTCCTCCATTAGCACCTCTCCCAATGCCACATCCCGCCACCCCTCTCCTCCCTTTCCTCTTCTCCTCCCCTCTACCCTTCCCCCTCCCTCTTCCCTTACTCGGCAGTCAAGGCGCACCTCCTCTACGAGCTAACTCTATTTTTTTTTTGGTAATTTTTAGCCTTACCCTCTCCTCCTTTCCCCGCAATCTAGTGCGTGGAAAAATCCCCCTTCCCAGTGCGATCTAGCCTCGCTACCAGATCGGCTAGAGGGGAAAGGGAAAGGTGATGGGGGAGAAGTGGGAGAAGGGAATTTTTTTTTTTTTAAAAAAAGGGTCATACAAACTGAGTAAAAGGAGAGGATGGCGGGGAGAGGGAGAAAGGCAAAAAAAAAAAAGAAAACGTCATCGACCACTACGTTCGGCGACGGAGGTGGTGAAAAAGGAAAAGGAATTTTTTGTGTGTGCTTTGGGTATTTTGAAGTGTGTAGGTAAAAATTTTGAGAAGTTTTTTGGGATCCTGTAGCAAAAGTTGTTAAAAAACTAGTAGGTAAAAAACTCGCTTAAAAACCTGGCTTCCAAACCGACCCTATATTGATGGAGTTAGTAGGATAAATATGTATGTATGAAATTTTATTTATAGGGGTGGATGTGCAAGAATTAGATAGGTAATATAAAATTTACCAGTTGGTATTTGGCTGCGTCTAAATAGATATGATAGAAAACAATATTTTTTGTAAGAGTTTGCGTGAACCTTGGATCTAGTGAGGTGAAGTAGGTTTGTTGGGATATTGCATTATAGATATGGGTTGCAAGTGGATAGAGAGACATATAATGTTAGTAAATGTATGATATGTTTAATGGATGAATGGATGTTTGAAGATATAGTATGTGTACTTGGGTTTTGTGGTGTTTCAGTTGTAAAGGATGTTGTCAATGATAGTATCCATGCAAACGATATTGTAATTGATAGTTATTGAATATTATTGTTTCAAAAATATTGAAATCATTGTATTTGAAAAAAATTAAATGTTCATTTTTTATCAATTGTCATTGATATATTCATTCCAGTCAAGTGTCAGATATTGTCCTTCCATGCGTATTTTTCATTGTTGTGAGCCATGCGTTAAACAAATTCTGTTGTGTAGGCTATCTTTAATTATACTAAAGAATGATACTGGAATTTTCTGTAAATAAATTGGATGAATGTTAGCGATAATTGATTTTTTTATCATTGACTATGAATATGTATAGAGTAAATACCAGGTTGGAGTAAGGGTTGTGCCATATCAAGAAATATAGTTTTGGAGTTGCTTGTTCAGTTGGTTGTCTATTGGATGAACCTGTGTCTAGAGAAGATGTATCTGTTAGTTGGAATATGAGATTGGATGATAAGAGATTTGAAATATGTGTGTGCGTAGGCGGTTGTATTGAGTAAGAAGAGTGATATGTGAACATACCTGAGAGTGCAGTCTCCATGTTATTGTTGTATGATTTTTGTTTGTTCTTTGTAGAACAGAGTTGAAGGAGTTTTTATAGTGTAATGGGTTCTGTTTGTTATATTATTATTAGTTTCGATTTTTGCGAGTGGGTTGATGGAAGGTTAGCGTACTTTAGATTTTGGTTGATTTGTTTTGATTAATATATGGTTTGATATTTGATTATTACAGGCTCTTAATAGAGTTTAGAGGTTATGTTTTGTTTATGGTGAATTTAATTTTTTTTGTGTAAAATATCCATGGTGTTATGGAATTATTGGAGTGAGAAATGGGTTTGTCGTATAGCATCATGGTTTGTTGTGCATATGATCATTGATTGAGATGTTTGGGACATTATTTTACCTTTTTTTGCTTTGTTCTTATTTGTTGAATTGTCTTGTCAATCATTCTTCACTGTTGATAAGATACATGTTAGGCAATTTATTTTGGTAGTCTTGCTTGGTATAGAGACATACATATATATATATATGTGTGTATATATATACTATAGACACACACACACACACACACACACACATATATATATATATGAAAAGTTTGGTAATTTGGTGTAGTAAATGGGATATACTTCTACACATTCATCATTGAATATTTGTATAAAATATTCTTTATTTTGGATATGAGTGATGATTAATATATACCCAGGTTTGATGCTATGGTGTTTAATTAGTTTCTTCCATCCATTGGTGAGGCAATCATCTTCGTATTTTATTTTCCATGTATGAGAATGACAACGAAATATTAGTATTTCATCTGTGTTGGGCCGAAAATGTGAAATATGTTCTTGATATATTTCCTGTGGAAAAAATATAAAGAAAAAGTTAGTATGTTTTATGAAGAATTTATATATGACAGAAATTGAATTTATGTGTATTTTATATGATACATAGTGGATTAGGTTTTTGGTTGTAATTGAAATATAGACGGAAACTTTTCCAAGGAGGTGTTCTCTTCCTGTGAAGTAGCCTGCAGTAGAAGGAACATTGAGTCAGTATTATAGTTTTGTATTGATATATAGCTTGATTGAGTTTTAAGGTTTGTTTTGTTTTTATAACGTGTTTTTTTATATTAGCATTGGTTGGTAGAGTATTCCATTGGTAGGATGCCGTGCATTGGTTAGGTGTGAAGATTGTTACTCTAAATGTCATGACTCCGATGTGGAAGAATTGGATAAGAGAATGGTCGCAAATGGAATGATCTTCAATGAATTTATTTAAGTTAGAACTGCATCCGATTTCTATTGTTCTGACAAACCAAATCTTGTTGCCTACCTTTAAGATAGTTGTTCTCCTTAAATGGTTGCCTAAGTATGGCATGAAACTATGTGGTATGGTCTATATATCAAATTGATAATTGTTATATTAGTTGTTTTTGGGAGAGATTTAATGTTTGTACAATTTTGAAATTGAAAGAGGGATATGTTACTTACTATCTAGTTGTTGTGTGAAGCAATATAATATATAAGAAAAGATTTGATTGGACAATCTGTGGAAGAAGATATGTTGTTTTAGTAGTTTGATAGTGAAAAATAATATCGAATGAATATATGTTACCTGAATGTAATTCTTGTGGTGGGTATGACCGTATAATTGAAGCGAGCCAGATTGTGAAGTGAGTCAGGTGGGATGACTGTTCACATTATGTCTAGTAATGAAGTAGTATATTAGTAAACATCCACAAGAAATATTTTTGAGATTCATATGTAGTATTATAGATGGGAAATCAGAGGATTGCTAAATTTTTGTTTATCTTTGCCCTCATATTGATCTAAATCCCAAAATGAAGATAGTGGGAAATAGAATGGTAGTGATATAGGCATCTGTCCTACAGTTTCTTGTATGAATGATTTTCTGTCAAATGATAGTTGAAAAGGAACCGTACCCATTTGATACTTTATATCTTGTACTTTAATGATATAGGCACTTCCTATATATCACCAATAACTTATACTTTAGTGATGTTTTTTGCAAGAGAAATACATCACCAATATATGGAAGATCTTGTTGGTAAATGATGCCTTGGATGGTTTCATTCTGGGAAACATTTGATATAGTGTGGTAAAGAAATATGATTAATTAAAGAAATTAACAGTGTTTACATAATAGCTATTAATATAAGTTATTAGACGAATAATTGTTGGTTTGATAATTATGTGAGAAAATGTTAAATGGTCATACCTTATCATCCGTAAATAGGAATCTACGGTAACTTTTTGAATATGGGATGAGTCAAAATTTCTCATTATTTTAATGACATGCAATTTGGCGAACTAGTGTGGCTGTTTTTTTCTGTAGATTTTTGACTAACACGCATTTGCTGTCCATGACTTAAGAAAAAATCAATGTGTTAGAGTTAGTTAAACTATAGAATAAATTTTTGTATATAATAGTGAAAGCATATTTAAATAGTGTAGAAATATCAGAGTATATTAATTCGGTACAATGGTGAAAGTGTTTAGACTATGATAGTAATAACATACTATATAAGTTGTAAGAGGAAGATTACTTAAATTGCATGAACAATGCATAAGACTTCATTATATACTATGTTTCTTACGGAAACAATGTTTGTTTCTTGATCAGGAAGACGTTTGACTGCGACACAGACATTATTGGCTGTTTTTGCTCTAGCTAGGGTTACATAGAGTTGTCCATGACCAAAAACTGGTTCATTCAAATAAAGACCAATAAAATCATGGGTTTATCCTTATGCTTTGTTAATGGTCACAACAAAATAAAGCTTTAGAGGAAATTGTGTTCTTTTAAAAGAAATTGTATAGACATGAGGATCAGAACATTGCAATGATATTTTTGGAATGAAAACTTCTTTTCCAGTATGATTTCCAACAGCAATCATTGCATGAATGACATTGCCATTGAAAGCAAGACAGATTAACCTTGTACCATTGTATAGCCCTTCTCTTGGATTTCTAAGCAAAATGACAGGTGAATTGACTTTGAGGATTAATTCGTGTGGTGGTAAGGTTGGAAGTTCAAGTGAATGCAAAAAATCTTCATGCTCTGCCTGTTTTGATATATCAACTGTTTCATCATGGCTAAAATATGTATGCTGTAAACTAGGAAACTGTGAAATGAGAACATTATTTATTTCATGAACAAAATCATTTCTAGTGGTTAGTATGACCTTATTGACAGTAAGCAATAAATTTGGACCAAAAACTGTTAGATCAGAAAACACAGATTTTATCAGAGTATCAAGTGAGGACTGGTCATCAATGAATGGAATGATGAGATGCTTAGGCAACATTATTCTAGAATCATTAAAAATTGGTATGGTTTCATCACCGACGCAGAAATGAAATTCTGAGAAGGGTTTATTCAAGTGTGCACGCATATTTTCGACCAATTGTTAACTTGTCAGGATAGTTCCAAATATAGGATTTCACCAGACTAGCAGAAATATAGTCATCTTTATGTCCTTTGACAATAACTGGTAACATTTGATGAAAATCACCTTAAAAAACAACAATCTTACCACTAAAGATTGTGTTTGAATCCATTACATTTTTCAGCAATTTGTCAAAGCATTGAAAAACATATTTTTTAGCCATTGTTGCTTCATCCCATATGATCAACTTTACTTACTTGATCAGTTTTCCTGAGCTACTTTACTTTTTAATGCTACATGTAGCTTCATTTTCCTTATCAATTGGAATTTTGAACCGCGAATGTGTTGTGTGCCCTTCTAGAAGAATTGAGGTTGTGACTTTATATGAGGTTGTTGCTAGTGCAATGTTGCCTTGCGATCTAATGGTTGTTAGAAAAGTTCGATATAAGAAAGTCTTACCTGTTCCTCCTGGTCCGTCTATGAAAAATGCTTTTGGCATATTAGTGTTCACCTTGTTCATGATTTTGCTGTATGCAATTTTTGATTGTTGTTCAGAAGGTGAATAAATGCCATATTATCATTAGAAATAGGAATGTTTAACTCAACCTCAATTTCTTTTGTATCTGCTTGCTTGGAAGAATGACCAAGTTTAGGACTTATTAGCTTGAAATCATTTAGACACTTTTCCATGCATTGTAAGTAATTATCAATCAGTTGAAGTAATTTAACCCTGATTTGGTCTGTTGATAAAGTGAGATTCTACAAAATGTCTTCAGATAGTTGTGGTTTAATTTTTTTTCACAGAATTGGTGGATTTGGTGGGGATAGATAGACTAGAATCATGGTAAAAAATTGGCATAGAGTATGAGGCATATAGTACATGGCAGCCTCTGTCAAAGATTGTTCTGCAGCATTATCACTTTTTAGCTGTCCCAGCATTTCTGCAGCTTGGCTAAATGTTGACAGTTTGATGGATCCAATTTGTTTCAGGTCATTGTAAGATGTAGGCTCTTTGACATGCATTAGGAGCAACCGTAAATAGTATTTTTTACCTTGAATAGGATCAACTGCAATAACTCTATCAATTGTGTTTCTTCTTTGTTGTTGTTTCCATATTCTATGAGTTGCATTTCAGACAAAGTGCTGTGAAAAGTCTTTGTATAGGCACTTCAATCTTTTTGCCTCTGTATCAGTACTATTCATTTGGAAGAACTCTATAAGCATTGTTCTTGACATTCGTTCATCTAATGCTACCTTTTCAAGTACATCATTTTCATTGAAAACCATTGATTGTTCTCCTTCTAGATGGAGTTGGAGGGACATGACGAAAGGATTGATGTCAGTTAGATCGAAACCAAATATGCTAAAGTGCTTCTAGAGCACATATCCATCCTGCAGACTGAAAGTTTGTTATTTCATCAATTACTCCAACGTCATTTTTTCTATTTAGCTGGTATAAGATCTTTGCATGACCTTTGTACATATATTTATAAATGTATTTAATAGCTTCAATAGTTGAACAAATTTCAACGTTGATGTGACAGTTGAACTTTGCGAGCAAGTATGGGTTATATGAAACTATCCAACGGTTATTAAGTTGAATATGCCGAATTTCAACCTTTTGTCCATTGTCACGATGCATATATAATGGATAGGAGTTTTTATTGTGTCTTGTGAAGTCAACGAAATCCTTTGGATAGCCAAATTTGCATTTTTCATTTTGTTTCATACATAGACTATTTCTATTAAGTGTTCCACATGGTCCATGCATCATAAGAGTCTTCACAAGAGTGTGAAGATATTGAGAAAAAATTGAATTAGTAGTTCAGCAAAAACAACTCTATCATATGTTTCAAAAGAGTCAAGCTTGTGACCATTTGCTAATATGATGAGAAAATGTGCATGTGCGAGGCCTCTATTTTGAAATTCTATAACATATGTGTATGCTGCAATCTTGCCAAAAAGATTTTCTTGATGACGTCGTTCCTTAGCATCTCTAATTTTGCACGAAATACCCTTGCTGCTAGATTAGGTCTATTATGTGCTTCTTCTCCTTTCCATAGGTGTTGTGAGATTTTTAGCCAAACTAGATTGCAGGTCATTGTCAAAAAAATGCCTAATTTGCCATATCATTGAACTAATATCATGGCATCTATGTATCTATGCTTCATATCCATTGGTTCTGCAATAAAAGAAGCTGGTAGAAATATTCGATGGCCAATATTTGAGGTAGAAGTTTCTCCATTTGCAATACTGTCTAAGATTTCTTGGTAGATATCAATTCTAATTTGTCGTTGTCTATTTCGGTGAAAATCTATATGAGTAGATTCAATCTTGACATACGTGTCAATGAAAAATTGTTGAAATAATCGTCTACAATGCAGCAATAAAGATTTGTCAATCTCACGTATCTAAAATTTATAACAATAGTTCTCACGGTAAGAGATTATTGTCCTCTTTTTTGTTTTCTTCTGTAAAACTGAGATAGTAGATAGAATTATAAAAGAGTTAGAACATTTTATACATATGAACCTTAATAACTGGTATGTTAAAAAAAATGCCATCTATTTTGTATATTACCTATATTTTCAGTAGATATGATATGTTCGACAGTTGAGCAATGGTCTATGGGAATGTTTTCGGCAACATAAGTCCTTGCTCCATATATAGGCTGATTTTATCTTATGATTCTTTGTATTCCTTCATGCTACCCAGTTTCACCTCTTGCAAAGATCAAATGATACTGCAATGTGTCATAACAGCTATAGTAATATCGAATGACTTGTGGTTTGTCATCTTTACCATAGACCTATATGCGTTGTAATGTATCACTAATATTGAGATCATTTTCGGCCTAGTTGGCAGCTACTTGAGAAACTGTTGAAGTGTTATAGACTCGTTGATCCAGGTTGGCATGGAATTTTAAGAAGATCCTGTGATTATAAATGTCTTTGAAACTTGTCAGACTTCGGAAGAACGCAACATATGGATTGTTATCTAGAATTTGTTGTAGCTGATGGATGATAGATTCTTGGAACTTGCTTGATATTGCCATTCAATTTGCGATTTTATATTCGATGTCAAAGTAGTATAGCTGAACATTTGATGGTTTCTGACTATTCGGAGGCACCAATTGATTAAGAAAGTGATACATTTGGCCTTGGACTCGAAATGTGTAAATGCCTTTGTCTCTCTTATTAAGGTCTTTATCAGAGTTGACTCCAAGAGAAGTAAACGCAAACATGTTATTGTAACTTCTGACACATTGGCGCAATTCGATTACCTCTGGGGTATTCGCAGTATAGAATTTTACCAATTGAAGAGGCATTTCTGTTTCTACTAATCGAATTTCACCAGATGCGCAACAAAAACCAAGTGGTTCGAGATAGAACCTTTTAGCTCCACAAAAAGCACAATCTTCAACGACAGGCAAAACAAATGGCTCTGTAGCAATTCTGTCAATCAAACAACTTCTTCTTTTTCATATTTGTCGATGTCTTAGTAATATTAGAATTCCAATTATATGTATTCTAGGTGTTTATATGTGAATTCAGTGGTTTCAACAAAAAGAAAAAAAATGTATAAATCAATAAATGACCACTGTGATGAAAATATTGATAGATCATGATCATTGTTTTATTGCTCGTATAATTCACAAACTAAGGGCTATATCTCAAAACTAGTGAGTCTGTGTTTTGTTGGTATGGAAGAAACTCATCATCGACAATTAAGTTAGACACATTGTGTGTAATAAAAGATATGTGAATATGATTATGAGATTTTCTGATATACAAACCTAATGGAATTGTTATTAAATTAGTTGAGAAAGAAGCAACAGTGAGGTTAGTTATTTTACTTGATGACCCTATATTTGACATAGTCCTCATATTTGGCTGAGGAGTATTTGATAAAATTATGGTATTGACATGGCTCCGAGGTGGTTTATTTTGAAGAATCACTTTGTCTGACCCACTACAAACTTTATTTAAAGATTTACTGGTGTGTATGTTATCTAGGACAGAAACAAGCTTTTGCTTAAGCATTCTTGCTTCTCTACGTCGATGACTTTTTCCTACATGCATTTCTTTATATGAGGTATACTTCCTTTTTCAAATCATGATCACGAAATCACTATGATGCAAAAATAGAAGCACAAAACGGAAAAGCTATGTGACAGTCCAATAAACAAAAATAAACTACGGCGAACAAAGAAGATGACAGAAAGCAAATGAATATTTTGACCTTAGAAGATGCATTAGGGTATAATCATATAATATTCATAAACATAGCTATGTAGAGACGCACACACCAGTTACCATTAAAGTATAGAAATAACTGTGAAATAATCAAAGGGAAGACCAAGACCTAAAAGGACGAAATTATCGGTTAGTATTATCCAGAGAAGCTATAAAGGAATAGTACACAAAAACAATGATCTTAATGATAAAATATGCAGCACGTCTGTATGGAAAACTATTTCCAAAGCAATAAAAAAATGTGAATCGATGTTAGAATCAATGTTCGCATTTCGTATGAATCAATGTACAGAATCATAAATAATAAAAAGAAATGGTTCAAAATATGATGGTAAGTATTCCATTGTGAAGAAGGGCAAGCATACATTTTTTCTTAGACAGTTTTTACAATGTAGCTATAGCTTATAAATAAAATTCAGTTGAATGAAATATAATAGCTTGAAACAAAGATAAAATAAAAATGATTGTTGTAGAATGGAATAGAGCTTACCTTGAGATCAAGAAAACAGTCACAATGGAGCAGCAGAATAGAAAGAAAAAGAGGTATCTTCTGGGTTGTAACAATACATACACAAAATGAAATAAACGACTCTATGGTTGTAAAGGTGAGTAAAATCTAGGGTAAAAGTATAATAAAGGAAAATTGAAACAAGCTCATGATGATAATAGAAGGTAAAAGTTGTCTTCGATAATCAGCAACAAAGGTGATTAGCGCAGTTATATTTGAGGACAAACCAAATGAATGGTTCA